TGGAAGCAGCGGCTGCTGCGGGCTGAATGTGGGGAATTACCACTCAGAGCTGCACAAAAGCCTGCGGATAGACATAGTGAGCAGGTATCCTGTTGAAAGAGGGGAGAGGGAGTTAGAGTTGGGACGCGAGTCAGCGCCTAAGCGTCATATCCATACTCCGAACTAAAACAAACTCAATTTAGTTGTTGTTATGTGCATAGGGTTGCCACAATAACTAGACTGAACGGACCAATAGTCAGTTCACTGGCCCAAAGAGACGCATTGCTCCAAAGCACAGCGTTAAAGCTGAGTTAAAGTAGGAGTGTTTAATGTTGCTTGGGGTTATCATGCTTAATGCTATTACCGTCTTTAAAAGGACCAGGATTACTGATGTTGGTTTTAAGACAACTCTAAATGAGTAAGCTTGATTATTGCATTTGGAAAATTGTAGTATTTATTTTTCAAGTCACCTATAAGTGATTTTTATTTTCCTAATTCTCACTGAACTGCTTGTCTCTTAGTGAAATTATTTCCTGCAAGTACTCTATTATTATTAATAATAACTGAGCAATTTGATAGCATCACTGTAATGAGTTTGACAATAGCCAATAATGCAACAAAATGGTTTAACTCTGATTTTATATAAAGTCTTGGGGGAGGGGGAAGTGTATTGTGGCAACCCTACTTAAGTTGCTATGCAGACTCAGCACACATTAATTTCTCTGCAACCTCAGTCACCCTTATTAAAAATAAATAAATAAAATAAAAAAAAAAACAACAACACAGGCGACAAAGGAGTTTAAAAAAAGTTCACAAGTGTGGTAAACACAGCAAGAATCACACTTTCCAAACGAACTATAGTGCAGCTCACTCCGTCACAAGAGGCCATTGAAGGGAAGCTACATAGATGCTATTAAAATCCATAACAGTGACTCCTAGGTACATGTGCATCACACTTTTATAAAGGTCATAAGGACACAAGGGTCAAACCTGTTTGATTATCAGGCCACTGATGTCCTGTTTTGTGCCAGCTTGTTTATTTCTATGCAAGACATATAGCATAGAGTTTTTTGGGAGGTGGGCATAGGATTAAGTCTAAATAGATCTGGTGCTCAACAAAAGCAAAAAATAAAGAAAAAAAAGTTTATGGCTTAAGAAATTACCATTCTGAACAAGTCAATACACACACTTTTCCATTTCCTCCAAGTCACAGAACTTGCTTCCCTGGCTTGTTTACTCAGCCCTTCAATTCTGAACACTGGTTATATCATCATCTTAGCACACAAGCGTACATACAAGTTGATCTTATAGTTGTGTTTTATCACATAGTACAGTTTTTAAAAAGAATGTGTTCAGTGGTATTTTCATTTTACATTTATAACCTTGTCTTGCATCTGGATTTCCACAGAGAAGTCCTTCATACATGGAATTTCTTTCAAGATGGATCTTAACAAACCCACGAAAATGTGCTTGTTCAAATTTATTACTGCATAGTACTGAAATTTACCTTTACAGACAACGCTAAAGACTGTGGCAACCTATTAGTGCACTGTAAATATGGATGCAAATTGCAGTGGTAAAATCTGCCATCTTTTCTCAAAATGCAAGATTTAATGGCAAGTGTTTTTTTTTTTTTAATAACTTCAGGTTTTACTTAAATGGTCAACAAGGAAACCTTTCAGTCATAAGGAACGCTGTCAACTAGATTCATAGCAACACATATTTTAAAATAAGTGATAGTCAGACTTTAAAATTGTCAATTTTTCTTCTTAAGGAAAAAAAAAAGAGCTCACACAGTTGAGTGCCTACAAATACTAGCAGAGAGAAATGCGCAGTTGCAGTGTTTAAGGCATGAACACCAGTCATAAAAACCCAACAAGTCAACGGGATTCATTGCCTACTGTATGAAGGGAGAACAGAAAAAAAATTAGAGTGACACATAGGAGTTGGGGAGGGAAAGAAAACATAAAACAATAAGCTGGGTTTTTTAAACTCACCTAATTTATGAAGTGATTAGCCAGAAGTGCATTTGAAGCATACTTAAGCTGGCTCTGCCATTTAATCATACATCATCACCTTAGCTCTCCATACAAAATGGATGCGCATGTACAAGCATTTTGTATTGGTCACCAATCAAGTACAATCCTAATAAATACAACACCAAGTATTTTAAGTATTAAGGAAAGAGGAATAAAACATATTTGAAAACTAAATTGCACAATATTGAAATAATCACAGAGATCCTCTTCTGCATCATATAAGAGTCCATTTAATATCACATCAGAGGGTTTTTTTTTTAAACATACCATAATTATGAAATAGAGATATTCTAACAGCAGAGATAGAGCAAGCAAGCCTGTGTGGATGCTTAGGTTATCTTACAAAAGACATTTCCTCAAGCCAGTTGAACTGGTGTTAACTAAGGTTTTCTTGAGACATTAGGACGCCTGTCCATATACTTGAACAAGACAGAAAGATACATGTGCTCCCACTTGTGACTTGTTTTATTTAAGCCAAGAAACTAACAGGTGGCGAAGTTATGAAACATTATCTGTTTGCAACTTCTTACCCTACCATGTACATAAACCCTGGGCAGGCTCCTCACCACCATGCCATTTCACACATGATGATTGACAGTGTAAGCTGCAGTGGGGCTATTTTTGATCATCTGTCATGCTACGACTCTTTTGCGTCGAGTAAAATGGCTCTATATGGCCAAAGTAAATTTCTACCTACTGCATAGGCCAGCACATGTAGATCGCAACTATTCAGAAACTAACTGCTTTTACTGCTCTGCCAGATCAAAAGTTGAAAAAGCAATTCCCTGTTTTGCTGGATATCCTTAGTATCATTATTTTTAAATAAAGGCTTTGCTCTACTTTTGAGAAGTGTGAGAATTATACATGGTTTAAGCTTTCTTTACTGGCAGTAGTTTTTATTTTGGAACATATGCTTTTGTTTTAAGCTTTTGCAATAAAGGAAAAAGAAAGTTACATTTAACTTTTGCAGTAAGTGTAACTTGGGCGTATACAAAATGAAATGACTTACACTCCTGCCATATGCCTTCAGACCTTCATTATTATAACAGGAGATTCTTGTGTAACTAAGACCTCAGAAAATAATTATAGAAGCAATAATAAAGTGACAGCTAATTGTTTCATGTTTTATGAAAACCACCAAAGACAGGACACAATCTGGACACACAGAGCTGTGACATATGGAAAGTCAGCAGCAGTAGCACATAAGTGACTCTCAACATGAAATTCTTGAGCAAGGAGTTATTTAAATTTGAATGAAATGTTTTCCTTTGGACCTTGCATTCCATCATCTGATTTTATAGGTATTATTAAAGAGTGCATTTTACTCAGTGAACAGCTTTCCTTATGATAGAGATAGCTTACATAAGCATCAAGACAGACATGACCCTAAACAGGCTTCCTTTTAAGTTTGTGCCTAAAAACATTAAGTTGACATTCAGCATTCCTCAGCTTAACTTCTGACTCCTCCAGTTTCATTCCCTATTTCCAGATTATCAGCAATCTGATATTACACAGGTATTTTGATCATAAACTCAAGACTTCCTTCTGTCTTGAGGAAGGCAAGATTGCTGCACCCTTGTAGGTAATACAGAGTAGGTAGTATCCATCCAGCTAACCATCTGAATGAACTTGTTGCTTTTGTTACTTTGGGATTTAAGTCTGGTCTTACTTAAAAACAAGTTTTTGATCAAAACCATTTTGATTCAGGTACAAGTTTCAGAAAAAAAAGGGGGGAGAAGGGGGAAATCTCTCCAACAGAACTAATGGTATCCTACGCCAGTATTTCTGTGCATAAGCCCATATTTTTCCACTAACGTTTAAGTAAAAAATTACACACGCAAAAGGAAAAAAGTTATTTTCTGTTGATGATAAAGTCACCTTCCCTTTCCATAAACGCCTACTGAATTCAGAGATAGCATTTTAATAAACACTCCTGAAAACAGAGCTGTATAGATAATCAGTGCTGCGATCAGACAGCTTTCCAGGACAACACTAACATTAAGTAAGAAAGATGCTAATTGTGAAGAGCAGGGAAAAATGTTATTTGGTGGACAAATTGATCTCTGCAGCACTGAATAAAGAAAAATTCCCAGCATTTTAAATGCTTCATGCTTTGACGCTAATCTAGTTTCTGGCTCCCTTCACCACAGTAATGTTGTACTTAATTCAGAATACTGTACTTCTGCATCTTCTCAGTAAAAGTAATGTAGCATAATCCAATTATTTTCAGTTTCTTGCTTGATAGGTGGAACCATGACTAAACACTGCTGACCATACCAGAATATGGCAGAGCCTCACTAATTTGCACTCTGGTAGGAAAAAAAAAAAAAAACACTTGGACCTTTTGTGTGTGGATTAGCAGAGTATTGGTAGTGTATCTCCCTTATTACTCATTTCACACAGCATATTAGTAAAGTGTAGTTTTAAAAACTGCACACTGAACAGGAGGAAAAAAGACTTTAAAGTAACCCAATATTTCAGTGCAACCCATGGAACACCATCTAAGAGTAAAAATAGATCCAAGTAAGCACTGAAACAATCCTACTTATTGCCAGGAAACACAGTGAATGAAGATGATGACTTCTATATCCCAATCAAATGCCTGCTGTTCTGCCTAACCTGAACTATATTCTGTAGAAAAGACACACAGGTTATTGGAAGTTTTGAGCAAGAAGCAGTACTGAGTAGGAAGCTGGATTAGTAATCTCCTTTGTTTCCACATAATAGAAGAAAGGCAAAAAACAAGGATTAAAAATGAAACAATATATGCCACCAATTTGACACACACATGACCCTGTGACCAGTATTTCTTTTCTTCAGATTTATATATATTGCATTAGAAACAAAACCTTATTCAGCCTGCAGAAGAATTTCCCTGACCTAAACCTTAAGTGATCTGTTGTTGGTTCAGGGTAAGTAGAGCAAGAAAGAGCCCTGCATTTACAAAGTCCTTTAAGTAACGGATTGCTACAGGTTCTCCCTTTCTGCAGCGCTCAGCAAATACTCAGTCTCCCCACAGCTGATCCCCAGGCATTCCTCCTGGTTCCTCTTTGCAACAGTGCTTTAGCAGCTCTCAGGCTGACACACTCCACCTCCTGCCTACCTTAGGGTAGGCATCCTAAACTGATATATGACTGTATATATGTTGTGGTCTCCTCATACCTCAGAGAAGTCCAACAAAATACAGCAGAGGATAATAAGAAGGAGAAAAAAAAAATTTTCCCAACCTCCTCCCCCCAAGTGTCTCAGAAGAAGAAACATTCTCTTACAAAAGTACACAAATATTCTAGGAAAACAGATTTCCTACAGCTTTGAGGAAAGGAGAAGCAAACGATTGAGAAACTATTGTTGTTTAATAACAGCTAGGTACAATATTCTGAAGCTATTCTAGCCAAATAAACAAAATACGTTTGTGATGCATTTTCCCTACTTTATTGTTAGGTTACTCATTAATTAGCAAAATGCATTATTTTGCAATGAGTTTCTCAGTCAGTGTGCATTAGTGAAGTGGTACTGTATGGAAAGTTTAAAGCAGACTTCACCTTCTAATTATATGCCTATAAGAAGCAAGAGTTAGAACTACTTAGGAATAATATACTCAAGAAAAAGAGAAATGCACTACATATTAAAGTGAAATTGAGGAAGTAAAAATCTCAAATTAGAAAGCCCAATTGGACGCACATTGTTAATAAGGAGCTCCACACCCCTCCCAAGAACAAATCCCCCCAAAATTATGAACATGCAAGCAATACGTTGATTTACTTAAAAATCAAGAAGTCACACAATTTAGCACTCACTACAAAATACGGTTAAAAAAGTCACAGGCTACAGCTTGAAAGCAAGGAAAAAAAAGGCCCTTTGCTCCCCATGGCAAAGTCACTCCTCAACAACAAAAACAAAATTAAAAAGACACCCCCAAAAAAACTTTCACTACAGCTCTTTCAATTAAATAAAAGCACACAGTTTAGCTATCAACACCACTTCATTACTGTAATAAATAAAAAAAGCACACGGAGGTCTATTGACTATATAAAAAAACATACATGCATCGTTAATCACCATTTTAGCTTGTTTGTGTTTGAGTCTACTGGTTACAGAGTTTAATTCCAAACAGAACTATTCCACCTCTTATCATCATATCCTTCTGATCAGTTATCTTAACTGTAAACGATCCCTGTCAGATTAGAAAGAGATAAATAACATTGAGTCAAGCTGGAAAAAAGAGAAATGGGGCACAGCAATCTTGCATAAAGTCATACCTCCTTCTTTTATCATAGGGTCATACGGGACTGGAGTGCTTAGGTGGAATGGACACGTCCCACACAACTTGACTCAGCTATAGCATTTAGAACATTACCGACAAGGTGAGCACATTTACGGGTACATATTTTTAAGTCTGAGAACTTGAATATTGCTGGTGATTTTATAAGGATGCTACTATAAGAGGCCTTCAGAGATCATATTTTTTCTTTCCTTTTTTAAAAATGATTTTTCCTCCCCTGTTTGAGGTCCCATTGAACGGACTTACCCAAAAGGCCTCTGTATGAGAGCTGGATGAAGCTGCTGAACACCAAAGGCAAAACCTACCGACAAAAACACATCACATTCTCTATATGGGTGTTCTTTTGGCTACTTATTTATTCTATACACACACACACAAACACAGAGTGACAGCCTTCACTAACAAGCTCCAGTGAACATGTTTGAAAGGCTATAGAACCACAAATTAGAAAGCAAAATAAATCAATCCATAGATATAATACATGCACACACATGCATGCATACAGAACTTAAACACTGAAGCACACACATAGAGCTTTGATTCTTAAGAGATGTTTAGAAGAAGGACTTTGTCTAAACAGCAAGCGCAAGATTGTCATTCGGTTATTATTTTGTACTCCTTTCTGGTGCCTTTACTGCAAACCTGTGAAGCATTATATGGTACTTTTTAACCATCATTGCAGTTGTGTACTTCCTACAGACTGAAATTTGAGTCATCTCCACATGAGGACTTAGCGTAGGGTGAAATCTGTCTTCTTCTGTTGCTCATTTCGGTCTTCAAACGCTCAGGCCTGAACCCATTCTGCCCTTGGTGGGCACTTAGTTACTGGCACAAGTGTTGCTGAGGCTTAGCACACAGGAATGCAGAGCAGCCTCATTTAGAGCACAAACATTCATACGCTAAGTGTTCCTGGCTCTCTTGCTGCAAAGCAACAGTTTGGGAAGTGGACAGGACATCAGATTGGCTCCGATGTGGTCTTGGGAAGAGCCATTTCATTTTAAAGCCTGCATAATAGCTCCCATCTGTTTTAGGAGTTCACATTCAGTTACTGTTTGTGTTAATAAGACCGCACACATTGGAAGCAATTCACTCCTAGGCCAATCTTTCCCTGCAATGATACTGTAAATGGTAAGTACCACTGCATTTCCAGGAGCGGGAATAACCAAAGAGGAGTCTGCATCGTGGCAATCTTCCTGGGGAACTTTACACATTTTATCCATGCTTCCTTTTAGTTTTAAATAAGGCACATGTGCCAAAGAGCCGGAAAGTTATTACACGTTGCATTTAAAAATCAGAAGAGACGCACACCCAAACACTCAGTATACTTCAGGGAAAGTGCAGGACAGCGCTAGCTTTTCTAAAGTTTTAGTCTCTTCAGAAACCTCAGGTTCCTCACCTGGTTGCATTATCCTCGGTTTGGCGCCCAGGTATGCCAGGTTCACGTTGGCCTTCCTGCCATCGATGATAGGGTTGGGGTCTTTACAAGCTCTTTCGGCAGCAGCTCTGTCAGCCATGGTGACCTTAACAACGTGCGATGCTGGGCGTTAGATCACTTTTCCCAAGCGGAGGGGAAGCCCTTGGGCGGGCGCTGGCGCTCCCGGGCAGCAGCGCGGG